TCAAGAAGCGGAAATCGTTCGACCTCTTGATCGTTCGCGCAACAGCTTTATACGCGGTATATCTTCTTTACTGTGTCCAGACAGCTGTTGCTCACGCTTCCGTTTTGATTACGATTTTGAGCACAAGGTTCTCGCTTGTTCTGGATGCAACCCCCCCCCCCCCCGGCCACTTCAAAGCTTGGCGCGCCGACGTTCGGCGCGCAGCTCGGCCGCGGCTCTGATTCAGGTCTTGCCTGCGTCGATCAGGCAGCTATTTGCCAAACGTAGGACTAGTCCAACGCTTGCGTGAAATGCGATCTGGCGTTTTTGCCCACACTTGCTGCCGCTCCTTCCCCTTCCGATCGTCAACGTCATCCCGTTCCCCCTGTCTAATGATGGGGCGACGATACGTGCGCCCTGTGAATCGCTCTATTTGTACTGCTTCGGCGCTATAGTCACTTTACTTCGCTACAGTAATTCAAGAGTTGCCCAACTTTTCATTTATTCACATCGAGAGGGTGACCAAACGAGTTTTTTCTCCAGCAGTTTTTACCTTTACCTCAAAACTTCACTTATACAGTCAATTCTGTGCTCATTTCTGTGAACTACAAATTTTTACACGTGTACTGAGAAAGTTGTAACCAAAAATCAAGAACGCTACTTTCATTAACTCGTGTTGAAATTTAAAACCTGGCCCGTAATCCACTAATTTTATGAAGACTGGAATGTTGACAACCGAGTACTGTCTATGTCAATCGCACTAGCCAAGAAAACTCGGTTGGCAAAATGCGTACGCGACGCGACTTGCCATCGTCACAATTACGAATGGCCTATAGGTAATTGACACAGACTACATGTATAAAGCGTGACGTTGAAAAGGTGTTATGCAGAATTAATATAATATTACACATTGAATTTGATAATATTCATCTACTGACCAGGTAAATAATTGATCATAAACTCACATTCGTCAGATTCTGCATATAGTTTACTTATGGTCCTTTAATCACTATGTGAGAAAAGAATAGCTGCTTCTCCAATTTTCTTAGTATAATCCTACGTATACACGATTATGTATGATATTACACAAACTGCGTCCTACATTTAGTTAAAGCATTTGATAATTCGTTATCGTGGCTAATACTTTTTTGTTTAAAGATCTTAACCTACAGACTAAAATATGAGAGAAGTCCTATACAGAATTCCAAAATTCGCAAATAATTTGTTCGTACATGTCAATAGTTAAAAAGTTTTCAAAAATTCTCTAAAAATCCAAAACACCTTCACACACAATTTTATATTGGGGCTTAGTGGCGGCCAACCCCTTCTTGCAAAATTTTTTATATGCTCGCAAATAATTGTAGAAGCATGTCAAAACTTTGTTGGGAAGGTGGACAAGGCCATTAATGGAGAAAATTTTGTTGCCTTCCGCACAAGATTTCCTCGCAGTGCTCTTCGAAGCGCTCTCTTTCACTCTGTTTCTCGGACTATTATTTGAATGATCGGACCCAAATGTGTTTTTTTCTGTCGGTGTAGTGTATAATTGTATTCCTGTTTCAAACTCACCACTTGGCATTTGCCACGATTTTAGTTCCTGATCTGACCGTGACCAAGCGCTGAACTTTGTTTTAGGTTAAAGGAAAAAGTCCTCATGATTGTTCGAATACGATTTCCGCCTAAGTTATATATGTAGGCAAGTGTTTTCCACGCTATACACTGAAGATAGAAAGCTGCGTCGTAATGCCCATTGAGTGCCATCATTATCCGCGCACATTATTCAGGTTCCCGTTCAACGATTCTCTCTAGCGTATACCGATGCTTTTCAATAACGATGGGAAAATCGTTGTTGATGGAGCAAAGCGGGCCATTTTGTTCTATGAGGAAACCTCTTCTTGTCGTCGCTTCACTTCGTACCAATAGCAACGCCAACAGCTCATTACTATGAGTTCTGAGAATTCGCTCTACAAACCACACTTTGATGAATGATAGAACGCGGCCATTTACACCCAAAGCGTGGTCCAATGTTAGGATACAGTCTAATCTTGAGCAAAGGCGGTTGCCCAAAGAAGCTGCCCCGCTCGCAACCGCGCTGTCATCAATGCGATTTGAGCCCAAATTCTGGGCATAGAGGCGCTTTCATGTGCGACACATTTCCACAAGATTCCTTCAATTCGTGCGGACGTTTGAAGACATTGTCCATTCAGATTTTTTCCAGGGTTAGATTTAAGCACTTTCGCGAAAACCCCATAAAACCCTATTCTGGCAAGCATGGGCAAGTGCTTCTGCGCTTCTGCTCTAATGTTGTCGTAGGGAGGCAGCCAACATGAACGATAGGTTGTGCCAGCCATATGCGCTGCATAGGTCAAATCTTTTTCAAGTTCCATATTTACGCTATGATGACATCTAGGAACTTGGAAAAAACGCTGGAAGCTCTATATGCCCTAATTCTTACTGTTCGACACCATTTTCAATTCAGTTTAGAAAAAATACTTCAAAAAATAAGACTTTATGTGCGACATTTTGACAACCGCTGGAGTACAGTATACTTATTGCCAGCTATCGTTCATCTTGGCATACACCCGTTGTCGTATGCAACAGCAAGTCCCGCCGTATGCAATAGCAACACAGTGTCTCCATTGCGTATAAGATCAGAACACGCCAGCGGTAAGAGGAGGAACGAACTCCGCTAGTTTGGGCCGTCTCCGCGGACTACTAGTCCTGCAACGACCTGCAACACTGCAAAAGGACCAGTTACCAGCGGGAGCGGCTCAAAACTGGCGGAGTTCGTTGTCCTACCCGCCAGCGGGCAATCTTCGGAAGGGTGGAACGGGCACACCGCCCCTTCATGGGCGGGGGGGGGGGGGGGAGCCACCAACGCCGAGTCACAGTTGCCATCAACGATGTGCCCTTGCCGATCAGCTCAAGCGCAACGCTAGGACCGTGTTCGCGGGCGTACCGCTACCGTACCGCGGATGCGTACACTGGATGTAGACACTATGGAAAAGTGAGCACGTGGTTGACATCGACTGTGCCGGTTATCTATTTACTCGCACACGTTCCAGCACAGAGCTCACCGTGCGAAGGAGCTGCTGCTTCCGCTGTTTTATATAGACATCCCGGTGCAGCGATTTTTCCAGCAAGACATAGTTTTAGTACGCCATTCCGGACCGCCTCTGCGGACTACTGAATCCTCAGCCAGCCACATGCAACAGTATCGCTGAAGGACCAGTGTGCACAGGTGGCTGAAAATAGCGGATTTCCTCCCTGCTCGACTAACGCGCTATACATCAGCGGGCTACTGAGAGCAAATTGGACCACAATGTGAATATCAATCCCAAACTGTGAACTAGATATTGAGTTAGAATTTATGTGAGCACACCATGATAGAAAATTTTTTTGAACGAATTGATTTATGGTGTAATTGCAGAATGTGTCCCTGTTTTGGCGCAACTAAATATTTCAAGTTTTTTGTTTGCGCTTTTAATGCCAATCTTTGCATTGGAGGTTTTTACTTGCTGAACAAGGACCCACTTTCTTGCAAATAGGTTATTTTTTGGTCAACCCGATTCAAGCATTAGAGGTTGAAGGTACACAAAGGGCCGCATGCATTAACATCTCCGCTGGGGGGGGGGGATCGCAGCTTACAAACAAAGCTTTATATCCTGATGCTCCGAACTTTTGGATTTCACGCTGTCTACCCATTCGTAAGTATTCCTACCATCCTTTACTATGAACTTGAACAGAAGCGAGAAGCTGTACGAGCCACATTTCCTAAAATTTTGTATGATCCGCTGATGATCCCTGGCTGCCGACCATCTCTTCTTCAAAATCATTCTTTCTTCAAGTTAGCGAAAACGATTCAAAGTTGTACTGTTCATCAGGCCCAATAGGGCTAAGCATGTTGCTAATAAGAACAAATGATGTATTGGAGTCATGAAATTTGACAAATGATGTATTGGAGTCATGGAATTTGCGATGAACCACAAGTCGAATGTTGGGGTTTATCGAAAAAATCGAGTTTTTAAAACCTGATCTGTTCTTATCAGCAACATGTTTAGCACTGTTGTGTTAGATGTCCAGTACAACACTGGAAGGTTTTCTTGACTTCGAAGAAAGAGAAAAGGCGGTCGGCCTCCGGGGATCATCAGGGGGATCCTACAAAATGCTGGAAATTGCGGCTTGTACAGCTTCTTGCTCCTGTTCAATATGTTCACAGTGAAGGAAGGTATGAATACTTACGGATAGGCAGACAGCGCGAAATCCAGAAGTTCGGAGCTTCAGGATATGAAGCTTTCTTTGTAAACTGCGATCCCCTCCCCAGCGGGGATATTAATGCATGCGGCCCAAAGTCGTTCATTTTACCACCCTTTCTCCCTGCCTAAAGCAGCTTATTTGCTTTTATATGATTAAAAAAACTAAAATCAGTTGCAATAGGGCGTTTCAGCGCTTCTCGCTTTCAGCCAGCACGGCGTCGCGTGCGACATCACGCGATGGATATGTGGCGCCTTCATTCTGGTTCGGCTTAAGCGCTGCGCTCTTGAATACAAAGCTTCCTGTTGTGGATCCAGTCAGAAAGTTTAGCTAGACAGCAAAGCTTCCGCGGTGTCATCTTGCATTCAAAGCCGTTAACGACACGCTGGTCCAGGTATATTGTGGGAAGTTTGGTTTCTTTTTTCATTTAGGTACCTTCTTTTTGTGCTTTTATTTAAGTTATGCCGTTTGTAACTTCACCTCTTTTGCGCGAAACACGAGTTTGCGTATGGTGGTATATTATTGAAAGAGTTGCAAATCTAGTTAATCGTTCAGCCACAAATGTGCGGTGCTGCAATTGTTTCTCATTCCTGCTTGACTTATATACGTTTCCTCCCATTCGTCATAGCTTGAGCTTCGTGTAATCATTCTCAGCGTTCGCATTATCTTATATCAAAGCGTTCACAAGAAACCGCGCTGACCTAGTTATCAGGCTTCTGCCGCCCTCACATTACACTCTCTCGTTTTGCTTCATATTAAACTTCACTCTCATGTCGTGCGTCTTGCTAGCAAACGAAGCCTCCATGATTTTCAATCTGATAATCGCTGAGGGTTCTGTACACTTGGAACCACACCCAATCTTCTCACTCATCGCCGACTTAACACAGTTCATCTCCGTCAGTGTTTGCTCAGGCAGTTCAAAACAAATCTACGTTGCGCATTCCCTCAGTAGTTTATCGATTCTGCTTTGCTGTTTGCTCTGGTAGCAGCTGGTTTTATAGTGGCACATTGTCCAAACCTCTTCACTTTTACTTATAATAGATGTTGAACGTGTTCGCGACAATGAATCACATGTTGGCGGTTTCAATTTTCGCTCGATGTTATGTTTTTGTTCGTCAACCGGCCGTCTGCTTTGCTCGAGAATATCAGTCGGGTAATATTTCTTTCAGATGCGTGAATTCAAAGTGGTGGTGCTGGGTAGCGGGGGTGTAGGGAAATCGGCCTTAACAGTGCAGTTTGTCAGTAGCACATTTATCGAGAAGTACGATCCCACAATAGAAGACTTTTATCGGAAGGAAATCGAGGTGAGTATTTGTCATATCACTTTGCAGACTTTTCAGAAATTTACTTTACATATCGTTGTTTGTCCCAGTCATCTTAATGTGTTGCCCAGACGTCCTTCTGGTCAAATCAGAGGCGCTGACTTACTTATGATACTTCCGTGTAACCTTCTCTAAAACTTTTTTGCATTATTTGTTCCGGAGCCTTTGTATACGAAAGTATTTGGTAAATTTAATTCGTAAACGTCGCTATATATTTTTCAAGTTCGTTATTTTTTCCAGCTTGCTATGCATGCGTGTACTACTTCAGAACCTAGCAATTTTGCAATATATTTGCATGATTTGCTAGATTTTGGAGAGAAGTAAACATGAACTTTCCATTGGTTAACGCAAACATCACTGGTTTCACGCCAAAGAGATCCAAATTGATGCATTTTCGTATAGCTGGGTAGGCTACTCTCCAGCGTTTTTATTTAAATGAATGAATGTCGTGAAGCAATCTGATATCGTCAGCAATGTGAGTTTCAAAATTCACTCTTTCAACCAGAGAAGTTCATGTTGATGGAATGTTTCGAAAAAGTTGCAGTGTCCCAGAAATAGGCTGAAAATCAGCTCCCTTGTTTTATCTGCACATTATAGCTATATGCCAAACGCGTTGATATATTGCGAGTAGTGGAAGAATCACGGGTTTCATTAGAAGTGGAGAAGTTCTAGTAGCTCTTATTCAGAATAGGACCGAGAGCAATGTACACCAGTATTTTGCCTCCACTTTACGCACCTTTTCAGGTCGATGGTCAACCTTGCGTTCTAGAAATTCTAGACACTGCTGGTACGGAACAGTTCTCGTCCATGAGAGATTTATACATTAAAAATGGGCAGGTGAGCTGGACAGCCTCCCAAGAATTTGGCAGGAAGTTAAATTCTGTACTTCATAGGGCTTTGTTGTTGTATATTCAATCACAAGTCAGCAGACGTTTCACGACATCAAGACAATGCGGGAACAAATTGTACGGGTCAAGGTAAACTTTATACCTTCCAACTTATTGTTGGAATGAAAATTGCTCTCATCTGAGCTTTTAGGGGACAGAGCAAGTCCCAATCTTGTTAGTAGGAAACAAATGTGATCTTCAACATCAACGGCAAGTGCGGACTGATGAAGGCATTGCTTTGGGTGAGAACTTCGTTCATCTATCAAACTTACCTCTTATGTTTTTTTGCTTTATTTTACTTTACTGTTCAAGTGCTTATGTGAATGCACATATAGCAGGAGCTGAAGTAGCTCATTTGTGGTATGACTTCGTTTATAAATCAGATTAGATTTCGACACATCCAAAAGACATAGCCTATCAAACTCAGTTCCAGTAAAGCTCTGGTCATTGCAATAAATCTAGAAAATGTACGCAATGAATGGAGCATCATGCTTGATTGTCTTATCCATATATTCTGCAGCGAATGTATCTTTTTGCTTACGATTGTCCCATAGTTGAAAACTGTTTAGATGAAGAGGAATTTTAGAGTACATGAAAGAAAAGTATGAAATTGAATAGTAGCGAGTCTGAAGCTGACAGCCTCCAGACTCGCTACTTTTCAGTTTGCGTTGTTGTAGTTGTTTGCATCCCAGCAAGTTTGCAAGATCTAGATTAAGATCACTATTAATCATGATCGTTATACAGGGTGTCCCAAAAGTATGTATCGAACGTTTGATCGTTAATAACTCTCTTCCCAAGAAGTCTTTTGCCTTGCTTCAGGTACCGTTTTGTAGAGCTGGCTTCAACTTAGAGTTGCAGTATGGAGTGAATCACCCATCTTTCTTCATTACTGTAGGATTACGGTAGAAACTTCAAGGAGGGTTTTAAGCAATGAAAGGCCATATTTTGCCCCAGAAAGGAAACAAAACAGCCTTAAAACTTTTACACTAGGCTAATTAGAGTTGCTGATTATAACTGTAAAGTTCCCAACTTATTATGATGCTTCATTGAAGAGTTATGCCAGGTAAGAAGTAGCGGCCATTTTTTCAATGTTCCTAAAAAGTGGGATTGCACCGTTTAGAAAGGTTCGTAATCTTGTGAATAGTTAATTATTGAACTCAGCGTCCATAAAAACCCTATTACACAAGTTTTCACGATTTTTTGAAAAATTTTGAAACGGCAGCTTTTTTCACATTAACACCATATGTTTCAAGTTTCTACCGTAATCCTACAGTAATGAAGAGAGATGAATGATTCGTTCTATAGTGCAAATCTAAGTTGAAGCCAGCTCTACAAAACGGTACCTAAAGCAAGGCAAAAGACTTCTTGGGAAGAGAGTTATTAACGATCAAACGTTCGATACATACTTTTGGGACACCCTGTATTTCAACCAGTGCGTCACCTCTGCTTCGCAGAGGCTCGCACTGGCTCTACTATCTATGTGCCTTACTCATTCTCGTAAAATCGTGGCAATGGAACTTACCGCACTATGCCGACTACCACGAATTAAATGTAAACAGCTACTCATTCAGAAAGTTTTTTCACGTGAGATCGGTGATTTCGCGTGGATGAAACTTTTCGTAGGAAGACAAACGCAAATTTGAATAGGTTTTTGAAGTTGTCATGGCTTGGTAGAACCCTTAAAGGCAATAGTAACCGTGAGCTACATCTCCGTGCGAAAATCTTTTGAAACGCTTAGCTAGAACCTTAGCAAATTAACCATTTACGCAACCAACTCTTTCTGGCGCCGTTTTCGTTATGTAGCAAACTTTTGACCACTTTTTGGGCTAAAGTCCATCGCTTGCACATTTGCTTACCAAACACATCCAGGACTTTGCAAAAAGTGGTGATATGGACCCAATTTTGCGGAACAGAAGCCAGGTGGATCCGTTTGGCGCGCAATTTCTGAGGGACCCATTCAACGAATCTATTCGTGCTTTTGCACGTTGAACTTTCATGAAGGTAGCATGCGCTATGCAAAATTTGGGCTTAAAACGCTGGCTGGAACACGCTCTACGAATTTCGTAAAAGACGGACACACACACACACACACACACACTAAAACACGTAAACAACCCTTAGCCCGTTATTATAAGGTCTTGATATGATTGAGAACCAAATTCAAGCCTTTTGACAGTACGTTTTTGGACCTAGTTGTGTCAATCGCTGAGTCTTCCACTGCTAAACCTTTGATTCAACACTGCATTTTTTTAGGTGTTGTTGTTCATTACCATATAATAGTTTTTTTTTCATTAGGGCATAATATCAACATTGTTTTTCTTGAATGTGTTTTAAAAAGCAGCGATTCAGCCGAATACTGGTCTTGTCCATTCACCGAATGTTCGGCGAAGAACAACCACAACGTGAATGTAACCTTCGCAGAAATCGTCCGTGAAATGAATTATGTTCAAAGTAAAGCTCGGGAAAATAAGGGTTGTTGTTCAATCATGTGACAATCTTCCGCGAAATGATGTTCGTCTCTTTCATGTAGATACGTGACTCTAATGTACATTCACAATTTCATCTTCTCTTTTTCTGTATGCGAGTCTTCCATTTTGTTGCACTGGTATATCTCTCCTGTTAGGACTAGTGCGACGTAGAGCTTCAGAACCTCATCGTTTATTGCCTGTTTTGATTGACAATTTTCTACGGTGCCAGTATCACTCGCTGAGTAATTAATTTCTATAATATTGGTCTCTGCCTTGTTCATATGTTGCCTGATTATTGAGTCTAGTAAAACCCGTTGATGCTCTTTTTGTCTGTCTCATAATTGTTCAAAGATTTGTTGTTGTCAGTTTTTAGTGTCGAGTCATCGTCTTTTTTTTTTCAATAAGATTAGTAGCCAACTCAAGAGTGATGAAGAATTGCTATGCTAGCTTTCATCACGAAGTTCAGGCTTCACCTCTCGGGTCGATCACTTTGTTACTCCTAATGTCATCTTCAGATGTTTGCTATATTAATGATTCACTTTGTCATTGTTTGCCTATGCTTTCCATTTTATGTTCTAAAAGTGCTTGTAAAGTTTTGATAAATTGTCTAATTTGTGGCACGAATCATTTCTTGTTCTTGCTGTCTATATGGCAAACGAATTTGCCGCGAGGTGGAGAAGGGAAGAACTACGAGTTCGCTTGCGGAGACAAAAAATTGTAGGATGTTTAAGCAATAAACTTTAGGCCTGTGATTATTCCAGAATAATTCATATGAAAGGAATGGCTAGAAAATCAGATAGAGTACGCTCAAAAACCCTGAAGTGTACCTGAAAAGATTTTCGTGCTAGAATTTGCTAAGCTGTCAACCCTCTTTGTCGTTTGTGTTTTCTCCTCTGTTTACGCGCCACTCCTAAAGGCAGTGGCTCGGGAAAACTGAAATTTATGGCCGTATTCATCATCGAACTGTGAGGGTGAACCTTATCCTTGAAGGTAAGTTTTGCCCCAGAAAGCATGAAACTTGAGGGTAAATCTTACATCGAAAAGGTAGGTGCCAGAGTAAGCGAAAATGTGGTCAAGTTGGGGCGCAGAACTGGCGTTACTAATCATTGTGGCACAACGCCAAGTTGGCATTATGCCACAATGATTAGTGATGCCAGTTCTGCGCGGGACCCCAACTTGAACAAAATATTCGCTTACTCTGGCACCTACCAAAGAGATCAACCCGTATTCACGAACAGGCTCATCATGGTAACTTTAAGCCCAGCATAGGAGCAAGGTTGAATTTACGCTGACACCGTACAAACATAAAGTGAACTTGCACCACTAGTCTCAACGATACCGTTTTGACAACAAATACATACTTCTAAATACTATCATCTCAAATTTCCTGATTCCTCTTTTCGTTTCGTCTAATCAGGTTACAAGAACTTGGATAAATTTTTTTTAGTGTTTTGTTGGTCAGCTTTAAGTTTATCTAGTTGAGCTAAGATAATTTGATCATGTACAGTCTGCCCCAATCCTAACCAGGCCAAAATTGGCTTGGCGAGTGCGCGTCGCGAGGATTTCGCGCCACTTCTGCGCCTAGCTAGTCTGCTCTCTCCTCGATCTCTTCGCTCTGCGACAGCGCGCTTATGCAGCGCAAACCCCTAGCGCTGCGAGAAATTTGGCCGACGGTCCTGATCCCGATTGGGGCAGACTGTATCAAATCGTTCATTGAACGAGTATGTGGAGTAAAATTTTAATAAAGGAGTTCCGTATTAGGAACGTTTTCGAGTTTTTGAGCTTATGTTCGCCATATCAAAATCTTCACTTGGGCCTGTACTTCCAAAAGTACTTATAATTAAATCTTCTACTACAACAACTTGGCTGAATATATAGTAAAATCAAGCGAAAACACAAAAAAAGGCCACGAAAAGTTCCAGATAGTAGAAGCCATAATATGTGTTTATGTGTGGGTCATTGGCGAAAAAAAAACTGCCAAAATATTTAAAACAAAAGTTTGCATCAAAACGTGGCTTTCGCTCGTCCAGACAGAGCTAAGTACACAGCATCTGTAATGATATTGCTGTTGGAGGCTTTTTTTGGAGTTTTAAGAGGGAAGTAATCTTCGCGATGACCACCTCTCCAAAATTTCACCTCTCTCTTAGCAAAAGTCGTATCGCATACAACTTTTCGGTATTTAGATTAAAATTCAAAGCCATTTCAAACAAAATGCAGATGAAAAGGATCATGTGCAAAAAAGTTGTATTTGTCCATAATGCTGGTTTCTTGATCAATGTTCCTGGTCGTCTCTCTCAATAAAATAGGAAATCATCCTCTACTAATGTCGGATGTCAGCTTACATTTCATCCCAGCTGCTTACTCAGACAATCGATCGGACCCCTCCGCCGGACCCTCGGAAACTGCCAGGGTCGCGCCGGACCCAGTTGACCAATGAGAGAAGGGCAAATGGGCGGTCCATCGCGGTGGCATCACTGGCAGGCAAATGGGAGGCTTCTCCGGCCCTGCTGCAAAGGTCCGCCATTTCTCCGGCGCGACTCTGCCAGATTTGACGGACTCCGCGCCGCAGAGGTCTGCGCGGCGCGTGTCCGCCAAATTTGGAAGACACGCGCCGGAGAAAATCGGAGGGGTCCGGAGCAGAAAATGGGAGGTATCCGGAGCAGAAATGGGAGGTATCCGGAGCAGAAAATGGGAGGGCTCCGCCGGACAAATGGGAGACCCACCGCTGGGGATACGCCGCGACCCTGCCACTTCTCCGGCGGAGGGGTCCGATCCGCTGTCTGAGTAGGCAGTCAGCTTTTCATTATTATTGACATTAGAGCCTTAGCTGAACCACTGCATTTGAATATCTAACCGTAAGAACTGGGGCTGGTTCTGTGCAAAATGATAAATCAACTTACTTTTTAGACGACTACTACATTTTCGAAAGAAGATTTGTAATTTCAAAATGCGAATTTCTTGATCAAAAACATTATACTCTATGCACGAACGACGTAAAATTAGCTAAGAGCCGATCACTGCAGATTTTCGGATGTAAACTGTTCAACAGCGCAGTATCACATAAGAATGGTAATGGATTTTTGTAAAAATTCAAAGAACCGAGCAGATCGGCATAAAAGTCTTGGGTGACATTTGAGGAATGCCTCGTATAGATGAAGGTAAGCTTAAAATGGCCTTTCAAAAAGCAGTGGTGGCAGTGGTTTTGTCCAACAACGCCTATTGATATGGAAGCAATGTTTGAAGTGAGATCAGAACAGCCGATATTTCAAAAAAGCAACGAAGCCATTTCAAATTCTGGCAGATGCAAAAACTGTCAGGCAAAGTTTGCTCATTTGGTTTTGCGACTCTCTTGTTTCGATTCTTTGTGAGCTTTCGACCGTTCCGGTGCTCATAAACCCAAAACGGTAAACATGTGGCACCCTTTGTGGTGACGTCATCGCTGTACATAGCCACATGTTTACACTTGATGGGGGGCCCTGCGAATTATTATAGTAGATGATTGTGTATCGCTAGAACTGTCGTGAGTGTGCATCGAGACTCACTTGATGTTTGTACGAAGCGTCAGAGTGAATCTAACCTTGCTCCATGCTAGGGTCAATTTTATCCTGATGAGACACGTTCGTGAATGCGGATTGATAGCTCTCTGAGGTAAGGTTTACCCTCATGGTTCATTGATGAATACGGCCATTGGATGCGCTGAGTTTTTCGGCTTAAAGATTGCTGAAGGAGCCAGAGGAGAAATTCCCGCCGAAAACAGCGACTCACTGCAAGAGACTGTATGCTAGACTCCACCCATTTTGGCGGCAATAGCTGGTCAGCCAATCGCGTCTTATGTGACGGGAATCGCACGCCCAGCCCCTTCATTTCCAGGGCCGGAAGGCACCATAAAAACCATTTTTTTTATACAAGAGATTCCAAACACAGTTGCCAGGCTCGTGGATATGACCTCGTAAAGACAAGTTTTTCATGGTGCGGAAGTTTCGTCGATAAAGTGTAGCGGAAGATAATGCAGTCGAGATGTGAAGGGAATAAGATGAAGAACTTCTTTCCTGCTTCTCTCAAACAAAGACAGACGATGAACGTGCATCTTTCGCCTAGCCGTCTAGATTAGCAAATAAATCAGAAAATAGCGTCGATGTGCTGACATTCAACCAAAAATCTACACTCGTTTATGATTTCATTTCATAAGCACCAAGTTCCTTGACCGCGTCACCGAAGCCATTTTGTCTGGCCATCATAACATCTCAGAAGATGGAAAATGGGAGTTTGCAATGCTTGCTACGAAGCTGTAAAGTAAATTATAACCGTAATTTCGAGACATATACTCGAGTAGTCTACGCTATCAGTGTGTAGGTTTGACATGGACCTAAGAAAGCATACTCGATGCGTCTAGCTTTCGAAAACACATCTAAGTTAAGGCTTCTACTAAACGAATAGGTAATCCTCACAAAAATTTGACGCAGAAATATAGACATAGACTTTAGCTTAGGTGAAAAATCTTTTCGAATGAAGCGCCACGAAAAGATAGCTGTATAGTTCGTTGATTTTCTTGGACCTGTAGAAAGGAGCTTCCACTGAGGATGTTTGTACGGGGTGCGTCAAAAGTCTAGGAGCCTAGAACTTTTTTCGATAAAATCAGAAGGAAGGAACTAGCAATAAGATATTTGGCCCACGCATAACTCAAAGTATTACAACCATAGCCTATCTCTCAAATTTTGAAAAAGCCTCTTTTGGCGTCAACGCAAGCCTTCAGAATCTTGGCTAATGCGGCACGCAGGTATTCGTAAGTGGATTTTATCCCACACCTTCACAACAACTGCCTCTTTCACTTATAAACTGCGCAGCATGATAGAGCAAACTTTTGAACACGTATGCTTTAGAGCACGGCTCAGCACAGCTGGCACCGGGTCAAGCTGGATATCGTTTTCAGGGTGGAAAGCAAAGGGGATGTCGTTTCTGCAGGGGCCGAGGCGGAGAACTGCCGCAAAAATGCCGCCGGCATGCCACCGGCATGCCATTGGCGAGCTGCCCATCAACAAACAAAGGCGTTGTTTTCAGCCAAAACGCAATAGTATGACACCAAATTTGGCGTGTGCATGCGCGTTGGTGGACCGGAACTACGGGCCAAAAATTTATGAAAACTTATGTGAATGAAAGCTGTGCCGAACTTTTTACTGAATTAGCTGCCAGCTGGGTGCCAGCTGAGCTGGCACCGACACTTTGCTCACATAAGTTTTCGTACTTTTTTACATAAAATGTATCTACAATGTAAAAAATTACATACGGACAAGAAACAGTTTCATAATGTTGTTTTTTCAGCGTTTTATAGCAATTTGAAAACCACTCGGTCCGCTTTGCAGTCGGAAAATCGGCTTTTTCTGCTTCTCAAGATGTGATTCGACCACTTAAAAAGCTCAGAAAGCTGTGAAAAATTCTTTCATGAAATCAGAAACGCATGAAAACACTACTGCATTTTTTACAAAATATAAAAATGATGACGGGTTTTCAAAACAGGTCAAAAGGGACTTCGTACGAAATTTTCAATATCAAACGACTTCGTTTTGAAATTTCCCTGGTGCCAGCTCGTGCCGAGCCCTGCTTTAGAGAAATTTCTGCAAG